CCACCGGGAGCTTTGACTCCTTCCTGGTCCAGTACAAGGATGCAGATGGCCAACCCCAAGCCTTACCCATAGAGGGAGGCTCCAATGAAATTACTGTGACCAGCCTGGCTCCTTCCCGCAGATACAAGTTCAACCTCTATGGAGTCTCTGGGCGCAAACGCTCCAGCCCGCTCTCCACAGATGCCACCACAGGTCAGCTTCAGATGTCAGGGGGGTTGTTGCAGGTTCTCTCTCTTTCTCTCTCTCTCTCTCTCTTTTTGAACTACCCATTACCAGACTGACCCAGTCTCAATAGACACAAAGCACTGGAAACCTGGACTGTTGGTTGACAATTGTTTTTATCTCCCTTCAGTGACTGGGGAGAGATTTTTATTTAATTATAAAAGAAAATCTTACCAAAAAGGAATAGAATGCCTTGAACCAATTCAGAAATTAATCTTAATAATAAAACTATTTTCTAGTTTAAGCATCTATTTTCCATAAGCTCTTTATTTACACTATCTCTTTAAAGTTCAATTTCATTATTATTTTCATATCTTTCTATTCTATATCTCCAATATATCTGTTTACTGGTGACTTTTATAATTCTGTTCTCTTAGTCCCTGTACAGATAGTCCATATTTACCAATGCTAATTGGGACCAGGAACTCTGTCACTAAGTGATGTGGTCATAAGGCACGACGTAACGTGACCTTGCCAATTTAAGTTGGCAGTTGCAGCAATCCCAGTAGCCGTTGTTAGGGAAATCCCATGCGATCACAGTGTCCCATGGTCATGTGATCACCATTTGTGACCTCCTGCTGCCTTCCCCACGACTCTGCTTGTCAGAAGCTGGCAGCGAAGGTCAAAAGTGGTGATCACGTGACTACACGACTCTGCGACATCATAACTGCGAGTACTTGAATTGTGATCACATGACTGCGGGGATGCTGCGATGACTGCAACTACAAGGACCCGTCACAAGTACCCCTCATTCAGCACCATTGTAACTTCAATGGTCGCTGAACGAGTGGACGTTAAGCGAGGACTACCTGTATGTCTCTATTGAGACTCACTATAGAGCTATCCTCCTTTTTGTACAGGGTTTGATTTGTCTTTTATTTTTTTTAATTTCTGTTTTCTATTCCTATTCATAACAAATCTTGGCTTTTTCTTGTCTTTTCTGTTTGTCTGTACCTGGAGCGGCTTCTTGACTCTTCTCCTCTTCTGACTCTCAGCTCCATCTGAGAGAAACGGCTTGAAGAAGTTTTCCCTCATGAGGGAAGGAAATAAATGCCTCTCTCTCCCCAGTTTTCTCAGTTGCTGCCTCCTTTCCAGTTATCTCTCCGCATCAGGGCAGTCTATCTTTTAGTTGCCTCTTTATTTCTCCTGGACTTTGGCTCTGCTTATTCAGCCCCTTCCTCATGCGGCCTGGGGCAGCAGAGCTCCCAGGCAGCCATCTTGCCTTCCCTCCCTCTCGCCTGTGCCCAAAACTGCTGTTTCATTGAAGCTGCTGTTTGACTGGCAGCTCAGTTGCCGTGACAATGGGGGAGGGCCGAGGAGGGAGGGGGAGGAAGGAGCACAGGTGCTTTTAAACTGCTGAGGCAGTCTGTCCTCCAACAGGGCTGTTCAGATATTA